GTTGCTGTCCTCCTGGCTTTATAGAAGCCCTGCCTGTTCCCTCACTATTGAGTGTCCTTCTAATTAGCTCCCTCCACATGGCTAAATATCCCCAATTCACAGCTTAATTAGCTGATTGAGCCCACCTGGCCTAATTCAGCTCTTGCAGTGGTAGTGTGGAGAGTACACCCCAGCACAAGATGCAGAACAGGAGACGGTACGAACATGCTGAAAACATCTCAGGCCTTTGCTTTCATTTTGTAATGGGCTGCTGGTGTAGTCAGACTCATCAGGTGCATAAACTTCTACCAATCAAAACCACACCCCACAAGATATAATTACTCTTCAAGATAAGAATCTTAAGATGTGGGCGGATAAGACCACCATATCAATAGTTAGATCCAAAATGGAGCTAGGTGATAACTAATATAGGCAGGAAGTTTAAATAAAAATAAATAAATAAATAAATAAAAATAGCAAGGGTCCATATGATCAAACATTGCCAGTTTATGAAATACACCATGTCTGGTCAGAAACCTTTTATCTGTACAGAAGAATGATGGAATTCAGACTACAGCTAACTTTCTTCACTCAGTGCTTTGTTACAGGAAATTAAGATTTTAGTGGTGTCCCACAACATCCCAACCAGGCTCTTCCTGCAGTGGTATGTCACAATGGTGACACTGCCTGTGACCTACCTAGAAGATGTGACACAGTCGCAGTCTGCAGAAGAGGTGGTCACTGAATGTCTTACGCTCCTCCTCAAACTGGGAACATACCTTTCAAAGACTTTCAAGGTGAAACTTACATTAAAATATAGATGTTTAAGTTACTATTCTAAATTAACCTTTTTTCAAAACTGAGAGTTTACAAATGCAAATAAGTGCTGGTTTATTCTCATCTTGCTACCGGCCTTTCTCCTTTGACTCTAGAATGGTGTAGTGAGGGGAATGAAGAACACACTCCTCTTTTATTTCAAACCTCTATCTTCCAAACTACACTGGCTTGTTTGGTGAAGCCACTGCTTACACCTTTGCAGTCCATCATTACTGCATTAACAAGCTGAAAAGGGTCCAAATTTCATTACCCTCTAAATTCTGGTTACCCAGCACAGTCTGCGCCATTGTTCTAAACAGAGCAAGTATAACACTTGTAAATAGGGAAGATAAAATCAGATGTGCTTCTTTTGGCACATTCCCTTAGTTGGGGGATAGGAATGTCATGGGTAACATAAAAGTCTAACTGCACTGAATACTATTATTTTATTTCACACACAGGTGAGCAGTAAGGGACTGGGTGACAATCTACACACCCTTGTTCCAGAACTTCTAATCCCAGCAGAAACAATTAACTACTTGTTCAAGGCAAAAGAATTTATGAGTCCAGAAGCATTTCTGAAAATGTATAACAATCCTTTACAGCCTGCCATGGCTTCAGGTACTTCTGCAGTTTTACAAAGCAATTGGTTGGGATGCATTGTTAGGGGGCAGGGTTAGCGTTTTATACTCTCTCTGGAACCAAACTTCTGGCTCACATAATTGTTAGCATCCCTAGACTTTCATCGTGAGTGTACCTATTAACAAGAGATTCCTTCCCTGTTAAGAACACTTCTAAATACATAGGGGTATGAGTCATGGTTGCCTTTTAAAGTTATTCCATGAAGTCACCACCTCATCTGAAAATATTTAATATTGTCCTTTCACAAGTACAGTAATGAGCTTTTCATTCCAGTTGCAGCATGTGATTGTGTGCCTGAGGCACACACGATTAGAATCTTGGCCTGATGCTTAGTCTTACTGGTAACACCCTCTCCTCCACTTCTAGGGGCGGGCATTTAATGCGACCCTCCAACTGTGCATATGGGGGGAGGAGAGAAAAGAGGGCAAAACTGTCTTAGAGGAAAAATCAGAAGTAAAGGTGCTTTCACAAGAACTGTTGCCCATTTTGTTCATGCAGGTCGCTGCAGTTGTCACCATGCTGCTTGGGAGGGGCAGAACTACAATCTAGACAGTAAAGGTTGCTAGGAATGCAAGCTGCTTTCCTGAAAGGGAGCTCAAGGCCTTTTCTGCTCTATGTGGGGACCAGTCAGGCTAAGTAGATGGGGAAGCCTTACTCCTGAACCTATATTAGAGTAAGCTTGTTTTCAATCTGGCAGACAAAGCCATTCGGAAATGCATCATTTCTATCCCCCTACAGTACCAGAGGGTTGCAGGACTGAAGTGTAACCTGCAAGGCCTATAAGAGGTAGCATGTTCCCCCAATTAACCCTAAGGGCTAATCTGATATTTTGACTAATATGGGCTAGTTGGAGAGTTGCAGGATGTAGGGGTTAAAGAAATCACTTTCAGCAGCTTGGATGAATATTGGCTCAATTCCATTTCAATGATTAAGGCTTTCATCTTTTCTTCCTCACAGAAACTGTGTGGCCTACCCCTTGTCACTTGTATCCCTGATACACCCGACTAAAGTACGTCCTCCTTAGCATTATGTCATGTTTTGGTCATTTACAAAACACACACAGAATTCAAGGGGGCCTTGAAGGGTAACAAAGTGACCAAGCTACCATGAATGCTGGATATACTTGTCTTTTAGAGACAATACACTTTTAACCTGACATTCTTCCTGGAGAGCAGTGGAAGTATGAAGGAGGAGCTTTTATGCAATAGGAGAGGGTCAGGAAGAGGGCTTCAATGTAAGTCATATGTTATCTGCCATATAAAATGTGAATAAATAGACTTTTAAGGACAGTGTGAAACTATGGAATGTGACTATCCCTGTGCATGAGTTAAACCATAACATTCAGAGGCAGGGTCAAATCGATATGAGTAGCACATGAGCTTGTATACAAAAGAATACCAATTATGACTATCATACAAGTGTGATTAAAGGACTAGAAAACAACCTCAGAAGATTGGAAAAAGAGAAGACGGAGGGGACGTGCAACACTTTTCATGTATGTAAAAGGTTGTTACAAGGAGGAGGGGAAAAAATCATTTTTCTTAACCTCTGAGGATAGGACAAGAAGCAATGGACTTAAATTGCAGCTAGGGAGGTTTAGGTTGGACATTAGGAAAACCACCCTGACAGTTAGGAAGTTTAAGCACTGGAATAACTTGCTAAGGGAAGTTGTGGAATCTCCATCACTGGAGATTTTGAAGAGCAGGTTGAACAAACACCTGTCAGGGATGGTCTAGATCAGGGGTAGGCAACCTTTCAGAAGTGGTATGCCGAGTCTTCATTTATTCACTCTAATTTAAGGTTTCGCGTGCCGGTAATACATTTTAACGTTTTTAGAAGGTCTCTTTCTATAAGTCTATATTATATAACTAAACTATTGTATGTAAAGTAAACAAGGTTTTCAAAATGTTTAAGAAGCATTTAAAATTAAATTAAAATGCTGATCTTACGCCACGAGCCTGCTCAGCTCGCTGCCAGCCTGGGGTTCTGTTCACCTAGGCCGGCAGTGGGCTGAGCAGGGCCTATGGCCGGGACCCCAGACCTGGAGGGGAGGGGGGTGTTTCAGGGGTCAGGGCAGAGGGCTGGGGTGTGTGTGGGGGGGGTTCAGGGATCAGGGCAGAGGGCTGGGGGTGTAGGGCAGAAGGCTGTGGGGGGGTTCAAGGGTCAGGGCAGAGGGATGGGGTGCTCGGCTCGTGGGGGTGCTCCCAGCCCCCGGCCCTGAGGGGATCATTCAGGGGGCTGGAAGGGATATGCTCTGTTCCACCCCCTTCCCCACCCCCTCTACAGAGCTGTGTGCATGTTGAAGAACAGGAGT